AATCAGTAAACATTAGTTTATTGAAAACATTCAGTCCAGCATTTCTTAATGTGTTATCAAATTAATATGCATATGAATTTAAAAAAGAAAAACATCACAATGCAAAGATTTTTGCCAAGAAGACAAAAAACAAATGTGTAAAAGTATCAGTAAAACAGTGAATAAATAAAGGTTAGTCGGTGGTCCAGTAGAATCATGAATGCACCCATTTATGAGGTTTAATATCACTTTATTTCATACATCCTGTTCTGTTGTCTTCTCAACAGGTCTTTCAGTAACTGTTTGATATAAAAACAACCTGATACTCTATACTGTAAAGACATGACATCAAAATAGGAAATATGTGAAACCAGCAGCTGAAATATGCAATTTCATATATTGATCGTTACATGAAAATGATTTAAAAAACCTGATTCTGTTGTTTTTTTTTTCTCCATGAACAACTTTACATTAAAGGTATTCTATTTTTCCAAAAAGCAAACAAACAAAAAAAACGTTCAGTCTTGTATCTGAAATTTCCAGTGCTCCATTCAAACCAAGGCAGGTGTGGAGCACAGGTTGGGGGGAAAATTCACCTCTAGAGTCCAAAGCAACAGAGAAAAACTTGATGCATACATCACAAACCTTTTTTTAAAAAGAATTTTCTCATCACAGCACTCTACATTGGTAAAGTTGCTCAGGGCAACAGTTGACTCAAGATGCAAATGGGAGAGAAACCTTAGCTCCGAATCCTGTCAAACTTGGCAAGATGCAGAGGAATGATGCATCTGTCTGATGTATCTGCAGAGAAATGAAAACACTATTACTTTAAGTCTGCTCTGGGCCCTGCACTTCTCTCATCTGCTGCCTGGGCTGCTTGAACGATCAAATTGATTCAGACTTACTTAATTAGTGGCATGTCGGCCTCCGTCTATAAAGTGGCAGATGAGTTTGTGACTTTGTGTGTGTGTGTGTTTAAGAGAGAGTGAAGAAGAGAAAGACAGAGAAAGCAGGATGAGTATATGTGCTGGCTGTGCTGAACAATCTTTAAATATACGTGCTGACAGAAATGTAAAGCAGAGAGACAACACACAGAACAAAGTCGGTGCAATGTGTGTACAGAAAAGAAAAATACTTTATTCGGTGTTTGCAGGAATATATGTCCGCGTGGATATGGGAGGAAATAAGACTGGAGAGCATGGATGTAAATAATACATACATGACACTGAACACAGAAAAATAATGTACACATAGATGGTAAATACCATTAAAATTGCCACAGTAAGAAAAATAAAACAGACAATGACAGAGTGTAAGAAAAACGATATGCGAGAGTGTGTGAATTGTGTGTGTGTGTCAGTGTGCTCAGAGGTGCTGATCTCACTTTCCACATAATGCAGATTGTTTTTCTTTTTTTCAGTTTCTTATAAAACCAGCCTGCCAGCACAGAATATAATTAAAGTGCAAGGCCGCTCCTTCTCCTCTGCAGTATACATGGGATAAATCTCATCAGGACAAAACACAAAAAGTCAATTAACTTGTCTGTCAGATGCCTCGATTACCTGGGATTATTTAAACCGTCTGGAACTGATTTTATTGTCCTGCTTGGCGAAACAAATCCTTTTTAGCTTTTGGGTCCGGTCTCCCTCTGAGGCAAATCAGTCACAACAAACAGCAACGTCTAAAAACGCACGATTGCGAGGCGAGGACGGTGTGTGCTGACAGGACACACACTGAACGGACAGAGGAAGTGCTGACCAAAAAGCCCAATAAAACAAAGAAGGAAGATGGTGAAGCTTTATTGTTATTTATTTTTTATAAAGCATCAGTAAAATCAGCCCTGAAAGATAATTTGAATAACTGTAAAAACTGTCATCCTTTCAGTTTGCCTTAGTAGAAAAGTCTGTTTTAATACAAAGATATTAAGCTCCTACAGTAAAAGAGAGTTAGACGTCAAACAGACTTGAAGTAAATATGTTTGCCAGAAAAAGCAAGTACTCCTTGGTCAAATAAAATGTCAAAAAAGTTAGTCAGCATATTCAAAAGGGAGTTTAAATTAATGTGTTGGGAATTTATTTGCATGATGCGCTAATGATTTAGCTAAGCAACAACATGCAGGTGCATCTTATGCCCACGTGACTTATGTATTAATAGATGGCTGTTTTTCATATTTTGATGTTAGTGTGCTTTAATGGATATAGAAGAAGCATGCAGAAGCCATACAACTCGGCCTTGACTTGTTATCCAACTTAAACTGCTCCTGGTTACTCCAACAGTATTAAACTGAATCAGGTTAGTAATTAGTTGATTCCAATTTTCACTAAAATAAGTCTTTCTAGGTTTGACAAACTGCAAGCACCTATAATTTGCTATTAAAATCATAATATGTTTGCTACTAAGTTAAAAAATACATGCTTTAAAAATGAACTTGAAGATGTTTGATCACATTCATTTTGTTATCAGTGAGGGATCTTATGACGGTGGCAGATATGTAACGTGTACGTGACGTCCCAGATCTAGAGTTCAGCGACCGTGTTCATTGTAAAGGTCCACATCTTTACAGTGAGACGAAACATCTGGATTGGCTACAGTGAGAAGAGCAACAGAGCTGACTGAATTCCAAAACCTTGCAGCTGGAGTGTTTTCATCTAGTCCTTTTGTGTTCATCTTTGCACATGAATACACATTCAGTATCCTTTCGTCAAAGTGTCCCTTCATCATCAGCATCATGCTGGTGTAAATCTCCGCTCCGCTTTTTCATATGTCAGTGACGCCCGTTCGTACTGATCCAGGATTGCACTATTCTCAAGAAGTCTACATGATGGAGACAATGCAACATAATGTAGAACATAAGCAGACACACACACATATCAGGACAGCACATTTTTCCACACTAAAAGACAAAACAATGGGTAGCACTTTATGTGACTTCTCCATGATGTGCAGGCATGAAGCTGCAAGCGTGACTTTGTGAAAATCAATTTCAACATTAAATTACCAATTAAATTAAATTCCAGCAATTGCATACATCTTAAATGTATGCGTTTCACTGCTTATTTTCTATTGTGCTTTCGGCAACTTCATGAAAGCACAGTCACAGAGCGTATACACATGAAATGTTACACACAGGCAGAAATACTATGCTTCATAATTAACCGAACATAAAATCAAATACAACAACTGACACAAATCATGCAAATCTACAGAGGACTTCTGTATAAGTGTGTGTTGAGTAAAGATTAATAATATTTAAAATATCTCAATGTGCTTTTTTTTAGTGTATGCAAAAAGAAATGATGTCCGCTTTCATTTGTGCTTTTACGTGACAAGATTCTTGACATTAATGATACAAATGATTTGCTGTAGGCCTACTAGGAGAAACGTGAAGGGGTTAGACATATTAACTGATAACAGCTTCAACTAAGGATGATTGAAAAAGTCCATGCTAATGAATATCCACTGAGTGATATAATGTATGCCTTCAAGGGAGGAGGACATACAGTAAACTTGAGCATCACAAAGACTTCAAACAAACTCACTAAAGAGGGCAAGATGGCTGCAAGCAAGAAAACCATCTTGGTGAAAATGAACAATTAAAAAAAACAAAAACAACAACATAAAAAAATAAAAATATAAACCTGCGCAAAAAATCACAGAAAAGGAAAACAAAAAAAAAAAAACTTACATAAAAGTATATACTGACTGGGCAAATGATGACTACACAACAACATATAAAGATGTTGATTGTTGGATAAGGGTGCTTACCTTGAGATTGTCTCTTAGACCCTAGTTGTGTTGTACTCTGATTCATGTTTGCTCAAAGAGCCAATGAGGCAGAACCTGAAATGTCATGGCTCTTTCATTTAATATCAAACTCGTTTTGCATAGAGAGGTCAGAATGCATAATGTGCTACAATAACAGCAATAAACTTCATTAGTGCTTTGACGGCCTCTAAGAGCCTTTGCATGCAGATTTGTAGAAAACTAATACAGTCAGGAACACTCTTGAAAGAGCACATAGAAAGTGCATGCAGGAAAATGTTGCATTTTTAGTATTTTCTCCAAAAAAACTGTACTCTCTGATACCTTCACACTTTTTTTTGTAAACATATACAGTTGCTTTTCAAGCAGTCAAGGTGCAAGTACACAATAAAATACTTCTTGTTTTTCTGTAAAAAAATCAGGCCAAAATGTTGAGCTATAGAATATAAGTCATGTTTTCAGTATCACAGTTAGGAATACAAATCCATATTTTAGAATAGTTTGCATTCATTTCAGTGATATTATTCGTCTCTATGAGGCACCGATTCAAGCCCTTGTGCTGCAGTCAAAACTGGACTTTTACAGAATTAACATCTACTAAAATGAGGTCTGTTTGTCGCTTAAAGATTTCTGACAAACCTCCAAGTACAGTATGTTAAGTTATCTGTAAATCATCATTCAGGAAAGCTAGCTGGGGACGCTTGACATGTTCAAGGATGAGCATGCAAGAAGAGACGTATTTGTCTGTTGTAATTTAGCCCTTAGTGAAAGTTTTAAATGGTAGAAAAGGGGGCAAATAACAAGGATCAATGCAAAAATGAAGGTTATCGTAATCTTAAAAAAATCATGAGAGGAAGAGGAAGAGCAAAGCTAAAATAAGAGGAACACAAAAATAAATGTAAATATCCCAAACAAACATCCCCCATAGTTAACTCTAGGGTTTTGCTGTTCTTCCCTCATCAGAAATCTATGGATACTGACCGCTGTACTGCCTTTTCGTGGCGTGAAAGCCGGTGGCTGGTGGTGGGAACTTCTTCCAGGTCGTCGTCCAGGTCACATTCATTGTCCGCTGCCTCTTGCGAGTAGCTGTGCTTCATGACCAAGATGCTCCTGCGGTTTCCCGTGGCCGGCAGCAAGGGCCGCACTGCCATGGGCGGCTGCGGGAGGTCCGTGAGCAGGGTGGCGGCCGCCGCGTCACGGGCGCTCAGGTTGCCACGGCTGCCCCGTCCGCTGAGCGACAGCTGGGATATGTGCGCGGAGCCGGGGTTGGACGAGGAGCCACAGTGGTGATCGTGGACGCAGCGCGAGGAGGCACGGCGAAGGGCGTGGTAGTTCTCAAAGTCTTCCGCCAGGTCGACTAGATCTGCTGAGGCCGCTGTGGGTGTGGTGGCACTCCGTAAAGTGCACAGCTCGTAGTGAGGGGGCTCGAAGACCTCCTGGAACATGGTGGGGTCAAAGTCCTCGCGCCGCAAAATGTACTTTTTGCGCGGCTGCTTGATCTGGACGATGACGGAGACGATGAGGAGGATGAGGACGATGCAGCAGGTCACGCCAATTATGGTCCCGTTTGTGTTGTTCAGGTTGTCCAGGATGTTGGCTTTCCTCTTCTCTGTACAGTGGTAGAGACACAGCAGGACAAAAGGGAGACGTTTATGAAGATATAACCACAATGACCCTGAAAGATGCCTTGTGAACAATGAGCAAAGAGAACCAGGACTACCAAGTGTAATCACAGTTAAGTGACTGTTAGAGAAAGCCCTCCTGCAAACTCTGGATTTCTTATGGACTTTAATAAGAAAGACACTCTAGTAATCAATGTGTGTGGTGCTTTCTAAAGCATATCAAAAGTTACAAGAGCAGAAGTTTAGAGAATGACTTCTAATCTAAATTGAAAACATCAGTATGAACTGCAAACCTTTTTCTTTTTTAAATTCCACACTATTCAGCTACACAAGCAACCTAACTAACCCAATGTTACTTCCAGAGCTGAGGAGGCTTCACATATTGTTTTTTGTAGGTTTACAGCTTATGATTTAAAAAAAAAAAAGCCCAACCAGCACAGCCACTACATGAAAGAAGCAGAGGACTTCTATTTTCAAAAAATGCTGCAACATTACTCATCGATGCAACAATGACTCCGACAAAGCCGGATCTTTTAATACTCCAAAATATGAATTATGATCTCATACAACCACTGAATCTTTGGTGGCAAATGTAATTATCCCTGCCACGCGCACAGAGCTGTGATCCTAGTCAGCAGTGACAGAGCGTCTCCTCCCCTCCACTGTGCCAAGCAGGCATATTGATAACCATGGAGGAGCTTGAAAGAGAAAGGAGGTCCAATAGTAGGATATTTTTTCTCTCAGTGAGTCTCAAAACCAAGTAGGTTGTGAACCATTTGGTGTAGTTTCTTGAGTTTACTTTAAAAGTGTTGGCTTTGTTTTACAGAATTATTTACAGGCTTTAATTAAAGCGCTTTCTCTAATAGATCTGATCGGTATTTTTAAGAATCATGTCATGACTATGTGGCCCAGTGGCCTAATGGATAAGGCATCAGCCTCCGGAGCTGGGGATTGTGGGTTCAAGTCCCACCTGGGTCGTGTGATTTTCACAGATCTAGCAATAATCATGACAATACAGCCGTGTCTTTGAAAAGGCTGAAGTCATGATACTGTAGGAATGAAATGAGTGGTGATTTTGATCTGACACATATGAAACTTGAAAAGTAGTAGAACAGTGTTTAAGGCTTATTGCGGCTGATTAGGCTTCCTAACAAGCTGGGATATGTGAAGATCACGTTTTGGTGTACTCCTTGCAATGAAAATGAATAAAGTTAAATCTTAATGCTAAATGTTGTATTCTCACTCATCTTCAGTTACATAGTCGACATGTACATGATCCCCCCAAAAAAACCCTCAAAATGCAGAGACATGTATAATGTTCAGGACATGAGCAGAAATCACATCGGAGTTATTACAGTTAAAGGGTTTCTAAACTGATTAGAATAAGTTAATTTATCATCAAAAATGTGCCACATGCACATTTAAAGAGGTTACTTCCCCCAACAAATGACATAAAAGAAATCACAAGAGTAAATCACACCTATAAGTGTGTTGATTCAGCAGGGATAATATTCAGTGAGAAAAGTTGAGCTACGGGAGAATAAACATTTGAAATCAATACAGAACCCTCAGAGCCTTTGTGCATTATATGCCATTAGCGTATGATTTGTCACCTGGTGCCTTAATATTTTGTGTTTTCCTTTACATGAATAAAAACCATCAATTGATGCTGAAAATTCACAAATTGGTGCATGAAAAGGCATCAGAACGCAGGATATGAAGTGTCTGATGCTGGAAATTTCCCCAAGACTACCCTCCTAATATGCCCCCTCATCGAATGCTGGAACAAAATGCAGCTGGATTACGGCATCCAGCATACTTTATGATGCAAGCTAGCGTATATTTGCCAAAGCTACAAATAACCAGCTCTTAACTGCAACACATAAACATTCTTTATTTCTGTCTTCTAACGTGGATCATCAGCTGATGAGGTTACGTCTATCAGAATGAAAAAGGGACCAATTCTTTCCAAAACAAAGAACTTCTGCAGATCTTAGCACTGCAAACTGTACATACAGAGTAAAGAGCTTGGCTTAGCAAGTGTTCACGTATTCCCTTAACAGCACCACAAGGAAGGAGAGACAGTAGCTCATATGTGAAGATGTCTGCTGACAAATGGACCTTATCATGTACAAGATTAAGAACACGACTTCCATGAGCCATCTACCAGATGGACAAGAAGGTCATACTGGGTCACAGCTGTAGTCTATTTATCACCAGGGAATCTACAAAGAGTATCCCAGACAAACAGCGTGTGGAGAGCCAATCTGCGGGGAGATCTGTGACATTTAAATGCTGGATGAACTTGTAGCACCGTGCGCTGAGCTTCAATGACAGTAAATGGTTACATTCAGACGTGTAAAGGAGAAAGGAATAAAACTTGACATTTTCCCGCTAATGAGGACAAATGTGGGCAGCATGCATTACTAGAGCAGAGAGAAGAGAGGGGGGGAAGACAGAGTAACAGGATGAGGAACATGGCTTCTTCTTGCTGAGTTCAGCACAATTTGAAACTCAGACTGTAGGGTGGAAAGGTAGCTTCATCTCAGTGAGGAATGGGTCATGCAGGATTTAACTAATTGATGCAATTTGTCAACGGTTCTGCTCAAAGCCTCGGAGTTACACTGCACACACAGAATACGCAAGCATCTTTTTTCTCGTCTATCTGAGAGAGAAAACATGTCGAAAACAATAACAACAACACGCTCTGACTGCAAGCTAAGGCCCACCATAATCACAAGCACACTGCATTTACTGACATGGGAGGTTTTATTGCAGAGAGGGCACAGAGGAGCTTCAGTTCAGATCTCATTTTAAGTATTTAGAATCCAGTGATGGCTCATGAAAGGTCAAGGAACATAAAACTAATTAATAGGCCATATAACACAGAGAGAGAAAAAAAACAAGCTTATTACCAGTCCTCACACACTTCGGCTAATTATTCCAACGGCATCATACACAAAGACGTTGTGGGGAGAAAATCTCAATTCAGAGGTGTAAATTACAGAGCTGCCAGGATGAAGACACTTCATCAATGTATAGATCGAGCAGCTTTAAAATTCTGAGTGAGGGATCAGGCTGCAGAGGACAGGAAGAAACTGACAGTATCTTAAAATCAGGAAGTCGGGGGGGGAACAAGACATTTTCACAAGAGTCGAGCTCTCGGGCATCGATCTGCACCGAAACCTGGACCAGTTTGACGGTGAATTCAAATGTGTGTCAGTGAGGGTTTTACTGTCTGGGTAGTATTTCTGTTTGTTTTTTGTGTAAGTCTCATTTGTTATGTAGTGCACAATGTTTACTCTGCACCACTCAGAGTGTCTGAATGAAAAGTGTTTCCTTAAAAATCTGCAAATTGAAAAAGAAAAAAAGAAGTGTCAATAGCATGTAGAGTTTCAGTTGCTCTCTCTGTCGCTGTCCGTGGTGCTGAAATATTCAAACGTGGTCTGTCTGTGTACAGCTTGGCAACTAGCTTTTGGAAACCTAAAAAAATGCCGTGCCACGAGGTGCCCAAAGGGTCAAATGACTGAGCTTATTGTAACATCTCACCTTTACACTGGTTCTCATCCCAGGGGTAGACACAGTTCTGCATGCCGTTACACACCAGCGTGTTGTTTATGCACATGTTACTGTGACAGAAGAAGGCATCTGCATCACATGGAGCTGGAAGAGGAGAGAGAGCACACAGTCACCACACTGAGAGCTTGTTTAAAACGTGAAAACAGAACTCGGAGATAGGTGAGAAGCTGTAATTGTTTATCGCTGAATTCCCCATCCTTAAAAAGAGCAAATCTGAGGGGCACGTCGATACGCTACAGCACAAATCAGCATTTGCGGTGCAGCTGAAGAGAAGCTCCAGTGTGCCAGATTTTGAGGAAATAAATTTGGATGGTCATTACTCAAATCAGACCTGTTTCCCCTGAACCCATCTGTTCTTCATGAATTTTCATCCTCACCCTCCTCTTCAAACATTTGCAGAGACAACTTGTGGATGTGAATGAATTCCTCGTGTGTGTGTGTGTCTGCAGAGACGGCCATGGCATTTCACAATCATGTGCACACAATCCCAAAACAAATCCGTTCTGTGTCTGCCGGATGCTGATCTGTCTAGAGCGCACGATTGTTGTCGTCAATATCTAAACCGGGCCTCAACCGTAAGCGCCAAACACATGATCCTCCATGACACCTACCTTCCTAATGCAGCACTTCTCTGGTATCTTAAGTCTCCGCCTTCCTATGACGACAGCGTGAAGCAGAGCCATCCGTCACCAGGACACGGTCATAAAATCAATGTGGTAATGTTACAGGCTCCGCTGTCATATATATGTATCTGGTGGAGCTACAGAATTTAAAGCTAAGGTGCCCTTGCTCTCAGCAACCAATCATACTAATGCATGAGCCAGCTGAATTGTCAATTCATTGCATGCGACTGTCAGTCACAGTGACGAATAGCAGCACGCCAGGCTCAAGCCAGTATTTAGTGGAGCCCAGTAATTAGGTTAAACCACTGGCCAGCATTTTTTTTTTCTTCTTTTGGCAGTTGAGGGGCAAGTGAATTATATAACCGCAATGAAGACGTCTTCAAGTTTTCAGTCAGGAATGTAACGAATGAAACTGGTTCAGGATTATATCTGAGGGCAAATGTAATTTCTCTCATTGTTACATGAGGGCTACCAGAGTTACAGCTGTTTTTTTTTAACACACACCGGGGAAATAAACCTAAAAACACCTAAAAAACATAAAAATAACCTGTACTTCATTTCTGTTAAACAGCCACCAAGTTGTGTTTGAAATACAAATGATCAATTATTATAGATTATTGTTAGATTTCTCTATTAATTCTCTATTAATCATTCTTTGTTTCAAATAACAGAAAATGGTGCCAGTGCTGTATCCCAGAAACCCAAGATGACGTGTTCACATGTCTTGTTTTGGTTGGCCAACATAGCAAAAAATGAGTCAGTCTATAATCTTACAAAGTAAACACAAGCAGCAAAGTTTATGATAACATGGGAGTCACTAGATTTTGTAATAAACATGTCAAGTCCCTTCATTTTTGTTATTCTATTGGCCAAAACTATTCTCATCTAGTTATTTTATCCACAGTTTCTCAATTGATCTTCCAGACGATTTATTATATTGTGAAAATACTGCATATCAATATTATATGTACAGTTACATATATGTTTGGAAAAAATCTGTCTGGTTAGAAATACACAGCCACATGCAGTGTCCAAACAGCTAAGAGGTAAAAAGACATTAAAAAAAAAAAAAAAAAAGCAACAATATTGAAAAACTTCACAAGTAAAAGTTCTGCATTCGTGATATTTAAGTAGAAGTATGATCAGAAAAATGTACTTAAAGTATGCCAGTGCGTCATAATTGCAGATGCATTCAAGTGTAAGCGATAAAGTTACTGTACACAGCAGCACAGGATAAAAATGCTAGTACTGTACTTTAGTGTTTTGAGTAAATCTACTTATTGGCCCATTCCAACATAACGTACAATTAACAAAGCAAGTACAATGTAGTAATTACATACTCTGTGCACGCATTTGTAGAAAAGTACGAGGACGGTGGAAGTACTTTGAGATTACTTTGTGTTCCTGAATGTTCCAAATGCTCCTGATTTATGCCTGACATGTGAACATAATGGATGGCTCTGTTGAGTTTGTGTCTGGTTGGTTGTGAAGAAGTCGTCCTTCCTCCGTCTCTCGCGTGTCTCTCGTTGTCTCTCTTTATCTCCCACTCTCTCCACACACAGCACTGGCACTGGCACTAAAGCAGCTTGCCAGTGGTATGGCAGAGCTGGGGACTATTTGACAGTGTTACCACTGTGATGTATGGCTGTTTTCATCCCAGCTCCCATCCCAAGTGAATAATAACACACCAAATTAGAGTGACTTATCTCTATCTCTCTCTGTAACCCATCCTGTCTGGGCCGTTGCCAGCATTTCCTGAGTCATATTGGCTCTCTGTGTGTGTTCGAATACCCCTCTTCTCATTTTCTCCCCCACCCACCCCACCACTGTTTCTATCTTTCTCATTCTTTTTGTCACACATGCCAATCCGGTTACGGTTTGTTTCGCTAACAGCCACCAGAGGGAGCCCGCTCCTTCTCGTTTTTTTTCCCAACCATCCTCCCGGCTCCTTCATTCACCACAGGGTGAGACTAGACGTTATAAAGAGCGCGATCCGCACTAATCTCCTGCAAAATTAATTTCAAGACATTCTGTAATAAAAGTGCCCTTTTGACCACACAGAAATATTCACAGTCGCTGCTGGAAGCATAAATTAACTCCTAAATGAGTGGCTGATGAAAATAGTCTGGGTGTCTCAGCAGAGCAGGGCTCCCAGAGCAAAGAGGCTTCTGCAGTGAAGTGCTTTAAGCAACACCTGGTTATCATGAAGTTGTACAATCAAACAGCCACTGTAGCTCTGTGTTTTGAGTGGCTTTGTTGATGTATAAGTGTGTAGTTATGTTATTTCTATAAGAATTATGTGTCTTTACCTGTATTCTGCCTGATGTTGCTTACGCTGCTTTTGTTTTTGCAATAATGATATTTTTAATGCATCAATTACTTGCTCTAATTTGGAACACTACTGCCAATACCTGAGAATATAGCTGCTTTTTATGACTATAGACAGCTCTTAATGCTATATGTTGATTTCCTGCTCTCGTTACGTGTTATTTTTTAACCAATACAGTTGATAATAAAATCGCTACTCTACCTTGTACATTGCTCCTCCTAGATTATTAAAAAGTTTATCCCTTAATGTTCAAACTTCTCCATCGATCACGACTTTAAAATCCTGGCTAAAGGCCCATCTGCTGAGAAATGTTTGGGTCCCTCTAAATATTAACTATACTTTCATTTAGTCAGTTACATTTATTTGTACTTTCCTTGCAGTGTTTACGTTAAGTTCAGTTTGTAAAGCGTTTTGGTCAACAATTGTTTTCTTAATTAAAATCTTGTTGAATTTAAATTATGTTAATGCATCATGCTAATATTGCTAGAAATGATACAGTAGATGCACTGGGGAGTGTTGCAGGAGCAGATCACGCATCCATCTACTGTTGATTTCTATCTTCTTTTATTTGCCTACAATGCAACAATATCCCCACTGCTCTCTTCTTAATCGCAAAGCAACCAAGATATCAAACGCTTATAAATACATGCACTTGATATAATCCAAACTAAAACCAGGCAAAGAGCCATATGCTAACAGGCATTAGCATACCGTGTTGGTCTCAGATGCTTTCATGCATACAGTAAAGAAGCTTTGCAAAGAAACAAGAAGTGATGTGTGTAGTGAAGCCGGCGCAAATTTCCGTCTGCAACCCCAGAGACGGGTTGCAGATGAGGCGTAACGATGCTGACAGCCGAGATGTCACACACGCGCGTTTATCACCTAAGACATAATTGCTTCTTGGGTAAAGATAGGTTTCACTTTCTTATACTTCACATTTGTAATCATACTCTGCAGTTCTGCATAGCGGGTTACTGTGCATGTGTGTGTGTGGCTGGAAACAGAAGCAAGTTCAGTAACATCAGCAGATGTGAACGCTGCACTCATGATAAAGGTGGATGTTTGCGTTTGGGAACATTGCTCTCCCCACCGGAGCAACTCGCTGGGAGTCAGCAGCTGCGAATAGTTCTCTAAGAGCCGCTAGTTCCACTGGGAACCGGCAGCTGTGAAGAAACATGCAAAGGCTTAAGATCTACTGCGGCTGGGGAACACTTATTGTAAAAACTGCCTTAAAAGCTGCAAATCCAGATGCGTGCACCTATAATAGAGTCGTGCACATGCACTTGTAGTAGTTACACACCATCTTCTTTTCACCTCAGGGAGGGAATTAAATAACTTACTGCAGTGTTTTTGTAGGACACAGTGCATATAGAACCTCTGTTTAGAGTTCCACCTTTCATTTTTTCCCCCATTAACTGGACTTGCTTGCTCTCAACACTTTTTTTTTTTTTTCTGCTTTGATATTGGCATTCCCTTTGGACTAAAAGAGCATTGTGCCTTTTTGAAGTTTTCAAACTGTATTGCACAGAAGGTATCTCTTCTAAGACTATGAATACATGTCTACTGACAGAGTTCAACGTTTGGTGAAAGTGAGTTCACTCTTTGCACTAAAATAATATTTTGTCTCAACACGCAAGTCAAGACAAACTTTGTGGGGATGCAAATATACTTTTAACAAAGAAATTAATTCTTTTTTTTAATTCTGTAAAATTATTAACTCAGACATTTAACAATGAAACTTCCCTTGGTGACTACATGTATTAAGGAAATTAATTTTTGTATTTGAATGTTTTCTAAAATGTTATGATTAAAAATGCAAATGAGAAATACAAAAACTGGCAATACAAAATTATATTTGTCTTAATGTAAGTAATCAACTGGGGAAAGTTTCATTAAATCAATTAGTTAAAATAGTTTTCAATAAAATGAATACAACACATGTGCTTAATGATGATTTTCTCCAAATAAGTTTCTTCTCTTACTCTGAATTGTTCATAGTGTTTTCTGATCTATGGATCGATGCCTGTAAAATGTATGCAAATCAGCACGTTTAACGACTCATGTGCATTTGTGGTTAAAAAGCAAAATGTGGTAAAATAAACACCTTCATGTGTATTTTGGATGTTTTCCTTCAACTAGACTGAAAGAAAAATCCAAAACTTGACCAGTGTACAAAAAAACAATGTTTCTGCCTGTAGTTTCTCACCTAAAGAGACCAAAAGTATGGAAACAAAACACTGAAAACTGTTGCATAGGTGTCAGGTGGAATCTTCTTTGCAGTCATTAAAATAGTATACTCACTAATCAGTAATTCTGTGAAATGTATCATTATTCATTTCTAGTATTTCCCTCCAAAATTGCTCCAGGTTTGAAGATATGCACACGACTGAAAGAGCCATACAAGTGCATACAACTCAAACTCAGTCAAAACTTTACAATAAAGGAGCACAAAACACAAATTATAGTAGGTGTACTGAACATAAGAGTTTCACCTTATTATGTTGCTATTTTGTCTACAAGTCATTGAACACAGCTTTTAAAACAAGTGTTTTGAAATTTCCTAAAACAAGTTAATCTGCACTGTAAGCGAGCAAAGACCTCAGCCAGTGACTTGCTCTGCTGCTCGTGCTTTCCAGAGCTCTGCTACATCTGTGCATTGGCTGTTGACAGGGGGTTGGTGCAGTGCTGCTGAGCTGTGGTGGATGCTGCTCTAAAGGCTGAGGTCTGGCTGGGGATCGCCTGAGTGACTTAGGCAGAAGCGTTGCCCCGGCAACAGCACATCCTGGCTCTGCGTGGTGAAAAGGCCTTAAAAAGGGACACTGACTTCACAACACAAACAACTCTGCTGCTGCTGCTGCTGCTGTCGCCTCTGCTGATTAGGCTAGGTGCTAAACTATCTCAGAGCTACGATAACCAACACGAACAGGCCGTGGGCATGTAAAGATGTGTCGACGGATCGCGCTTCAGGATTTTATGACGCATTCAACTTTAAATAATCATTCGTGGCGCTCGCCTTTATCCCAAGTACACTCGTTTTTCTTCTCAATAGCTGAAAAATCAATGGTTTCAACGCTCGAGTCAATAGATTCAACATGATTCTTACGTTTGAATAACTGTAATAAACCTTTTTTTCTCTTCCTATTAGCATTCAGAAAGATCCTTTTCACAAAATGAACCCGTGCGTTCGTGTGTGCAGCCGCTGTGTGCTTCCCTTTGCTTGTATCTGCGCCTTTAAAAGGCAATGAATGACACTGACATACTGTATACTCACAAGGCTCAGACCCACTTCATTCACGTCACTAGTACAAAGAATGCCCTCTGCAGCCCCTGTCAAACTACAAGCTCCATCAGAAGAGAAGCGAGTGAATGAGAAAGAAGAACTCAGTGTGTGTGTGTGTGTGTGTGTGTTTGTGTGAATTTTAATCTCTCCCAGGTGTTTGGCTCAAAGAAAACAGCGAGATGCGAACACACTGTAGCTCCTCCTGATATTCTTTCAGCACAAGCTCAGCCTGGCTCTTTATTTCTATCTCTTTAGCTTTTGTACACAAAGGAGTCAACGATGTAAGTGTGGCAGAGTGGAGCTCAATTCCACCTGTACTGTAATCACCCACAGGCAACGTTTCCTATAATGGGAATCATGTTTTCTGGTTTCTTGCCTCCTGCTGTTTAAATGGTCATAAAATTAAATGGAAATCTCTGACAGCACCTTTCCTACGATCTGCGTCTTGCCATAAATGCGGTCACCGTGCCTCCATCTTCTTTTAATGGCCACCAGTCAAGACTCGCCCCGTTTTATTTTGGCATCAGCATCGCTTTCATGGAGTGGCGGCCTGATGAATAAAGCTAATGGGTTGCCCTCGATGGGGGCGTCACATTGCGGTAACGACCGACAAACGACAGTGCGTGAATGTCTGTGTTCTGAGCTCCATCTTACGTTCTTGGTAGGTTGTGAAAAGGATGCGGAAGCGACTTTTGCGGCTGGCCTCGTCCGCCCACATACGGATGACTCCCAGCGTGGACACCAGCATGATGTCGTTGGCCACCGTGGAGCAGAACTTGCTCTTCAGGTCTTCCACCGAACTGAGACGAGACAGGATGAGATAAGAATGCATATTTTATCATCAAGTAACACGGGGCCTTCGCTGTGCATCTTAATATTCCACAGTGCTGCGCAGAACCTCAGAGCTGCTCACAGTTTTTCAGGTCTTTTATCTTGTAATCGCAACTATGAAGTCTGGATAGCACAAGATAACAAACTAGACTGCTGAGATTATATTTGTTTTTAAGTGTATGGCAGATAATGATTCAATTATATCCTTATCTCGGTGTATCAAATATTGTTTGCTTTAAGCGGGGTTTTAATATCTTACTATCTTGAGATGAAAAATAAGAAAATTTAACAGACCTGTTTGTGGGAAGTATGTGGGAAACAAGTGGCTTGTTGAGAGTTAGATAAGTAGATCAATACACCTCTCATATCTGTCTTTAAAATGTAACGCTACAGTCAGCTGCTGGTTATCTGGGTTTATTGTGAAGACAGGATACAGAGGAGTTGTGGTGTTACTTGAGCTGTATGCCAAACGGTTTCCAGCCTTAACTGTAAGTAAAAGTCACCCATATTTTCTGTAAAAATTTGATATTGATCAGTCTTTCTATCTGTTCCTGATCTGTGGATCCAATGTGATTTCTCAATCTGCGGGCGACCTCATAGTGGTCAGTGTGCACCTCATTGTGTGCAAACGCCATTAAGCAGTGAGTCCCTGGCTTGATTCTTGGAAAGCTGGACCTTTATAGCATGCCACTTCTCTGCTTTCCCACATTTCTTGCTTCTTTCCATTGTCACAATCTAATAAAAGCAAAACTACTTTAAAAGAATGATGTCAAAAAGAGCTCTCAGTCTGTTACAGAGTAGATCATGTAAGATCAACCTGACATATTAGGACAAAGTCAAAACCATGGATTTCTTGTACCTCAGAACAAATAGCAAGGTTAAGTCATGTTTATGGGATAAATGGCCTAATACAATATCCAATTAAAGATGCCAAAAAGTCACACCTGCCGCCATCATACACCGCCACGAAGTTGCGCTTGCACTCGTTGGAATTTGCCATCTCGTAGTCGAGAAAACGCAGGTAGATCTGTGCAACGCAAGGGAAAAACAAAGAGACAAAAAGAAGAGATCAAGTGAGGAAAAAATCAAAGGACGCTGTAACATTTGGACATTACAGAGGAAAGAAGTGAAGTAAACAGAGGAGGACAGAAGAGTGGGGGGAAAAAAAAGGATTTCAGCTCCATCCTATTATTGCCTATGCATCTTACTCATTATCCCAGTGCCTGATATAGCAGCCCTGTAATGAAATAAGACTGACAGACTGCAGCTAGTACAAAGTCATTACATACGCATATCAAATGAGGACTCAAAGACAGACAGGGTCTATTAGCTTTGGACTCATTATCCATATCTGTTGAGATAAAACATTACACAAAACCTACAACCTTGTTAAACTTTAAGGAGACCTTGGACATTTTGCCACAAGCTTTTGGATGTTCAAGAGCGAAAATGTCACCGACTTTCCTTTAAATTCGAAGCACTTTCGGACCAATGGGCTCCAACCATATTCAGTATATAACAGACTTGACTTATGTCGAACTAATCATCAAGTACACTATGACAGATGCAGTATAATGCACATCTTATTACACCAACAATCTCTTGTTGAGTGAAATATCCACCTTGCTATCCACCTTGACTCTTCTCAGGCGCTACTCTACACTTCCCGATTGCCTCCGCATCATTGTCTGTCACTCATTCATCAGCCTGAGATCTCCCAATCACAGCTATGGTTCTGGTCCGCCGAGCACAGCACTCGCCATCATTACGGTTAATGAGCGGACCGCTCCCGAACTGTGACAGGGAAATGTGATGCTTTAAATGCCCAAAGACGAAAGCTGCAGATGGAGCAGGATAATGGACCTTGCAATGTCAACTTGGCTTCAACAACATGACAAGTGAAATGGATCGGAGGGGGAAAACAAGCTAGCCAGTTCCCCTGAGGTCTCATATTGATGTCAGTAATCTTCTATCTAATAAAAATTGTCATATTCAGCCACTTTGTTGGCTATATTGGCTTTGTCACAAGAAACAGGACATTTATTGTCTGCCATACTGAGGGAGTGGAATGAAATACTGTTACAGTTCAGTCATTCATTGTAGGCCTTATGATGCGATGCAAAGATATTTATGTGTGTGTGTGTGTATATATACAATATATTGTACATATATACAGTAACTTACAGTCTATACACTGTATATACACAATGCTGGGTAGTATGAGACTTTCGTAAGAGTGTATGAACTTAATCCCTGGAGGTGGAGGATGGAGGAGTCTCTGAAGTCTTTTTTTTGGCAGGTGTCTCTTGCTGTGCTGTTGTGGTCTCATCTATACTACATAGATTTCCAATACAGTGCTGTTAAATGTGATTGGGAGCTTCAGATTGGTGGTGTATTATAAGTGTCTAAAATCTGGTTTCTCAGCAGGTTGGATGACAGTAATTTGGTCAGTGATTGGAGAGGCCGATCACTTGACATTGTAATAAAATAAAAAAAAAAAAAGAAATGCTGCTAAGACCCGTTTTTCAGAACACAGGAAACTTAGTACTAAGAGGAAACAGTCAGAAATCACTTTCACCAGGAACAAAATAGTTATTAAGAGTAGATGATGGCTCCATTCCATCTGACAGATTGCCAAAGACGTCAGATTTAATGTGAAACTGTTAAGGTTATAGCCAAGGTTAAGGTTATGGTAAAGTGCTCTCAGCCAAATTTATCTCCATTTGTTTTAGAGTTCAAGAGGCAAATAATTGGAAAAAGTACCAATAAGCATGATAATTACGACACTTGGCCCAGTCATTCCATCGTCAGCGAGTACAAAGCAAATTAGACTAGAAGTTTTCCACCCACAGCAGAAACAATGCACTGAATGCAGCCATCTGTAACCAATAAAAGTTATTTCAGCCAGGGGAGACTAATTGCAAATGCAAAACATTGTTGATGAAATGAACATTATGTGTTTTTTGTTTTTTTTTGCATAGACTTCATCTGGTGCTAATGTCTAATTAAAGCAATGGACTTGCAGTCGTTAAAGAGCATAATTCTCCCATCTTGACCATCACAGCTGTTTTTGGACAAAGACATGATGCTCGTGGTGTTGGGGAAGGTGGTGGCGGGGTTTTTGCTGTGCATCCAGAGATGAACGTTCATACATTTAATGTCCCCTGAGGAGGAATTCCACTGACTTTATCATTTCAAATATTTCAACATCTGCAGGACGGACTGGCACAAACTTGAGTACAAGCTTTTATGGTTTTTAAACAATGAATATGATTAACTTTGGAGACCCTGGGACTTTTCCTCCAGTACTACCATACAGTACACATTTGAAGAATTCATTTGCAAAAACAGATAACTCTACACAAACCTTCAGAAAATCCACTCTGAGACAATATCAATCAAACTTAAGTTATCTCTATTTTTGTCATGTCATCTCTACTGAATCAAATCCACTCAACTTCAGTTTGATATTATCTCAAGCAAACAACAACAAAATAGTTTTCTGAAAATCTACAAAAATGGAGTTATCTGTTTTTGCAAATGAACTCTTCATTTGTGGTTTTAATCACAATGACTCAACAACTGTTGGGTGAACTGCAGTGAAATACGGGACATGCTTGGCACATGATCCATTCTAGCAACATCAAGTCAACACTTTATTGAGCCTAATACTTTAGTATATGGTCAAATACTGGAAAAACTGATGACAATCCCATCAGTCTCTGCTGTACCTACTATCAGCAAATGTGAGCATGCTGACATGGTAAACTAAGATAGCTAAGATGGTAAACATGTTACCTGCTTGACATCAACATGCTCCTATAATCATTTTTAGCATGTTACCATACTGACCTTAACGTTTAGCTCAAAACATTGCACTAATTTTGTACAGCCTCATTGAGCCGCTAACATTCCTGCATACTCATAGTCCTGTTGTTATTCTATAACATATTGTATTTCAGAGCTGCACTTGAGACGTTTGCCATAATGCAGTGTGTCACTTGCTGTGTGACTTCAGGCTATACATGGTCTGTCTACCTAAACTGAAAGGAAAAGAAACACTGCATATGCTACACACACCCTTTTATGTTGTAAAAGATAACGGCCTTATGGTCTTGGATATTTTTTATTAAATGAAATGGTGTTTTTTTTGTGTGGGTTTTTTGTTTTGTATCACAGCCTGCAGTCGTTTCTATTTTACTTATGTGCATCCTGCTGAGTGTGAGCATAGAAAAATAAGTGAAATTCTTCTCCGTTATAATATCTTTGATCAACTGTTCCATACACAAAGTCATTGTGTGACAGATGCAGGTTACTGTTTGCACTGACTGGAAGGTGAAAAAGACAGCCTCATTATGTGGCAAACACATATCAGAAACTAACAAATATACAAACAGCTTTTGATGCTGTTTTTCTGCGGTCCCTTTTGGCGAACTCTAACTGACCAATGATGAAGAAAAATCTGAGTGCGGATGGCATCACAAAGCCAAATGACGGCAATGGATCAGAAAGATACAATCGCCAATTTGTAAGGTGAGAGATTGGCCCCAGCAGGAAAATAGGCTGCCTCTTCATTGATTGCTGCACCCAATAATGACGCAGAATCCATCACTGACGGGGAGAAGAGTGTGTTCTGTCTATTGCTAAAAGGTGCCCGTAATACTGCGCACTGTTCATTACAGTCACAATGAATGTCTTTATTTTGACCATTATCTTCATAAAAAAAAAAAGACGCGGAAGGTGTCAGACGGAGCAGGCAAGAGCGGCGGAAAAATCCACACTGTGTAAAACAGACAGGACACAAATGGTGTGTGGAAAATAACAATAACTGATTAGGCAACTGAAAATATCCCTCTATACAACTAACAGCTGTCAGCCGAGTTTGGACAGCTGTCCACGCCGTAATACCAAGAGGAAGAAAAGTTACTAGGAAAACAGACAAGTTGACAGTTTTACAAATTTAATGTCCAATTGTCATCACTGAAACACTGACTGTCTCTTCATCCTTCCGAATTAACTCACTATTTGGTTTTCATTGTGGACACGTGTATCCTATCATATCTGAAAGGTGACATTTTGTTGCACAGGCTTTGTGCTGTTTTACTTTGAACACCAGTGGAAGCTAATTACTTTGTTTTTTCAAGGTAGTTTCTGAAAAAGCTATTAGCAGGACAAGCTAAAATTAAATGACACACAGTGGTGTGAAGTAAAAACGTCATGACTTTAAAACTGGTGCAGTGCTATGGTCATAACTGCTTACTTGCAGGTATGTCTTCCTTTCCCTTACCTTGCCATCCCGCTCCCTGCCATCTGCTACCCCACCTCCAAACTCCGTCCCTATACATTTAGATACTTGATAAAATGCATTATTAAGTATATGTTTCCCTTATCCCCTCCTTTCTCATTCTTCCTCCTCTTCTGTACCCCCTTCTCCTCTTTTCTCTCTGGAGTGCTCCGGTGCAGTCTAATTAGAGCCTCCGGTATAGGATGTCATTATCTCTCTGCTGTTTCTGGCACACTGGGTACAGTGCAGTACTGTATCAGCACAGGGAAATGAACGCCCTGCTCTGCACACTGTGCAACCTTACGCATGCACGTACACAGTAATGGGGGAGTGGTGGCGGCGGTGGCGGCGTTCTACACATCTCCTTTCACTGCAGTAGCATGTGAGCTTGCATGTGCGTGTGTGTGTGTTTGAGAAAGTGACTGGAAGTGAGGAACCAAAGCAGACAAAGAGAGACACTGTAGGTTTTATATATTTCATGTGTAACTGAGTGTGAACAGTTGCAGTGCAGGTGCAAGCTTCAGGACTGTGTGTCTCTGAAGATAGATTTGTACTAAAAATTTTATTTTCTGCCTTGTCCATCAGTGCCAATTGGTTGTCAGCCTTTGGCCCATGACTTGCCCTGTGAGGCTCTTCTGCAGTGTGAAATATGACGCTCATTCAGACCAAGTAAAATACATCATACTGCCAGGATGGCTTGCTCTGTCGCTCTTTCATACATGAACCCGTTCTTAGCCACACACACATGGATGACAAAACAGAGGCATGCCTGCAATGTATTGGCAGACATACACACTCCACTTAGAGGGACTGAGGAATCAATGCCACATTTTTGAATCGACCGCAACATTAAACTGGGTCCAGGGTCCCTCCTAATGCCTGCTCCAATGCAACACTTATTGGATGGCTTCACATGAGCGCTGATGATTGAGAGAAAAGTCTGTAGGTCGATGGCACAGACTTATAGTTCCCATGGCCTTGGGTTTTGAAGCAGCTAAATCCGAAGGTCATTTGTGAAGGGAAACAAGGGCATTAGCAGGAAATATGCAACCCAAAGAATATGCCAGATAAGAATAAGCGCTGTGGCCATGAATCACAGTCACACCAATGTTATCATCCAGTCATATCATAAGCCAGTGCGTGTGTGTACAGTACAAGAGCCTGCAGCTCAGCACGAAAAACAAGTGTAAAAAAAAAAATACTACGAGCCTAATCACACTTTTCATCGGGGATGGAACACAGCTTAATAGCTTCGCTAATGTGTACTGTATAACTCTAAAAAGACCTCTATGGTGGCCACAAAGTAAGAAGAATAACATCAAGGAAGTATAACAAGCACTGAATTAGTGAAACAAAGAGCTACGCAGTTAAGCTGACATTGCATCTGCCCTATCTCACTCAGTGGAATAACAGGAGAGCACACACATTCAGGAAAATACACCCAACTAACATAAAGTTATACAGTGAGTCACTATTTCATATAACTTTTGCAATAGCCAATGGCAGTCTTATGGTTAAAGAAGGGTATTCTAATCTACATTTTAAATACACTCTCACATATGCTAAAATGTCTGGATAAAATGTTAAACCAGCTTTGAGAGCATCCCAAAGCCATTTTAACATAAAATGCGGGCCTATTTAAGCTCACTATTTACAATTACAGGATTACAGATGAGACCAAACCTTTTAGCGCTTTAAAATGCAGACCTCATAATATTTCCTGTCCTTGACAGAAATGTTCTTGCCATAAAAGTGAAAGTAAAATTGTGGTCTTATTCTGTTTAATCAAGCCCTGCGAATGGACTCAGAAGAGAGCAAACACTATCTGACCAGCAGATATACGGCAGTCATGGACTGGACGTTGTAAGTGCATATAAGTAGAAGCCGTATAGACTCATATGAGAAGTTGTAGCATTTATAAAAATGTGGCCTTTTCCTGCACTACTGCTCTGCCCTCGGGAAATGTTTAATCCCATAGCATTAATGCAGCACAGGTACCTGTGGTAGATAAGGAAGCATGTCTAGTATGTCTTAGGGGTTGGAGCAAAGGTGTACATGTAAATGTGTGTGCCTGCATGGCTATATTTGAATATGCATGCACGGCTGCGTCCAGAACACTGGCAGAGAAAACAAATGCAGGCTGTTGCAGGCCTCAGGGTCAAACCGCATGGCAACACTATTTCATCAGCGCTAACACTCCCTGCCTCTTTCTGTCTGCCCAGTCCACCCTAACTCCCCTCCTTCTATCTCTCTCTCCTCCCTCCATCTCTCCATTCCTCTTGGCAACAGTGCACTGATTAAAAAAATGGGCTTGACCCCGAGTAAACCCTTCTGCCTATCTGTCTGACCCTAGCGGGGGGAACAAGTACCCCCGCAGCCACAAACACTCACATCGGGTTAGTGCTGACAGCTGCAGACAAACCCACATGCAATATCAAAGGTTCCTGATGCAACCCGTGATCTTGCTGCATGCGTGAAGAAATACTGAATGGAAACAGCTAATTAATCAGAGAGAAATACTCGGTATCTCAATAGAAGCTGAACATTTTGACAAGGAATAGTAATGACAGACCCACAGTGTTTGTCAGCTAAATAACAACCTTTCTGATGTAACCGTGTTGAGCTGTCATCAACCCAGCTGATGGGAAACACAATTTCATTTCTACTTTATTTTATGTGACATTTCAAAAAAAATGTGGCTTTAAATCAAATCCACATTTGGATGGGAGCACGGCTGATGTCACTAACCTTGGAGCGTGGTGGAGCACGGATGTACCATTTACAGTCGACGGCCTCAGCGGCACCCGCCTTCCCGTCTCTGGTGATCTGATGAGACTCAACGATACCTTCTGGACCAACCATGTCATACTGACAGGCTGAAACACACACACATGCATAAACGCACACAAACACATGCATGCACACACATATGCACACGTGCAGTTCAAGCCAACAAAACACGGACTCACAAATGTGACACATTGCAAACATTAGAGAACCGAAGCGCAATATGCGTGTGTGTATATTTAACAGGAAGAAACGCAGTATAAATAGGCTTTAGTGAGACAAATAGAGCGCTGAGAGAAAGAGTGAATGTAAAAACAGATGAAAGAGAAAGAGACAAAAGAAGAAACTGAGGCAGAAAGAGAGGGAGAGAGAGAGAGAGAGGGAGTATACCTACAGGGGAGAGGTGGGGGTACTCCTAAGTCTGCAAAGTCTGGATCTGTGGAGAGAGCACAAGAGGGGCGAGGGAAGAGGGGGCATTCATTTTTAATACATGATTACAAAATCAGAATCTTCACAGAGGCAAAAACAACCAGGTGTAACAATGTGCCGGGGAACTTCCTGCGAAGACGACAAATTACTGTCCTCCCTCCTAAATTATTTTGGCATCCTTAAAGGCTTCCTTCTGCGGCTGGAAGCTGTTGTCGTATTAGACCCAAACTTGTGGTTGAAGGTCACAAGCTCCTGAATTCGAGATTCTTCACAGGAAACCTCTAATTATGTATGATTGCCGCACTTTTTAAAGACTTTTGCACTCTGTATTTTCAAACACTCCTGCTATTAATGTCACAAATCATGGGCAAGAAGACTGAGAAAAAATACCTACTAATTGCTGCTTGAACCTCCAACCAGACCATTAGTAGAGTAAATTGACTCTGATGCCAGCATTTTTCACTCAGTAGGCTGATTTCTCTCCACAACTAAAAAGTAGCATGTTCACACCCTTAAAAAAAAGTAAGCATGAACAGACCAACAAGACTAAGACCACAGAGTCACAACCAACACCTGTGTTAGGCTATGCTTTAAGCTAAATGCTAACATGCGCATAATGAGCCGTTTTCCAATACAGGGCTGTTTTTGGGACGCTTGAACCTTTTTCTGTTTTCCAAACACTAGAACCGCCCATGCAGAACCTCTTTTCGGTTAGGTTTTGGAGGAGAAAAAGTACCTATTTCATGGGAAGGCACCCTTTCAGGGCTTGAAGCTGATGGGCTAAACTCAGAGATGACAGATCTTTTAAGTCTTCTCTCCAGCATCACTGCCAACAACAACGTAAAATTCATCATGTAGACTAAGACTACAAACCCTTGATTGTAAATGTGTTGACAGAGCCGGCGTTACATCCAGTAACTACTATTTGTTCTGCTAACATCATGATTGAAGTTGTTGGATCTTATACAGCAATGGAAGCAAGGTCAACCGACAGGGCATCCACATTCATGTAACCTTGCGCCTGCTCGGAATTTGCTCATTTATAATAAGCCCTAAGTAGGGAATGTAGCTATTTTTTTGAGTACGTACTAATAATCCAAAGTTTAGGGCCATCATAGAGAACCAAAGTATTTCAAACTGATCACATGGAGGGAATGAACGTTTGCACCAAAGTGAATGAGATTCCCTTTGATTACATGCATGTCTGTGGAAGTACAATGCATTAAGCACAAAGCAAACTCTCAATCACTAAACAAATGAAGAGAATGAGTTCACTGAGGTATCTCTGCTCGTCTAAAATTATGTAAAAATTCCTTCATAGGAGCTGAATTGGTCAAAATATAGGATCAGCCTGAATTACAGCAATAAAGCCTTTTTCCAAGCAAATTTAGAGGATCAAGGTCAAACCCTCACGCTGTTCTCTTGGGGTTGCATTCAGTATTTTAGCCAGTCAGATTCGCAGCTGTGCTTTACAGTAATTTGATGTAATTATGTTTTGCATAATAACACCAGATCCATATTCCTCGTTCAAACTAGCTGTGAAAAACCCAATTATGGTTTGAAACCAAGACACCTGTTGTTTTTTGGGAGGCGGAACAGTCGTTCCAGCTACGCAGCCATGACAACAAGGTCATGTCAGTATTTACTTACAGTTCAGATCACACTGTAAGTCTCAATAGGAATATAAAAGGGATTATGTTTTTTTGGATTGACCTATTAAATATGAGTAAGAACTCTGCTGAGCTCCCCACATAAGTTTAAGTCTTATCTCTGTTTCATTTAGCAGTGTCAGAACAAAACAGAACCGAGGCTTAACAGAGATAAATAGAAGAGCAAAAACATTAAAATGTCCTTTTGGAGAATTTTAGCAGACCATTGGGGACTATGAATCTAATCCTTATCCAAACTTCCTGCATTCAGAACACAAAAAATAAACTTAAAGTCAAGCAATTCATTTTGTTAGCTGAACGCAAAAGGCAAGTGTCGGGTAAAGTTTTGAAAGTCAGCTTGAAGCGAAAGGTATTAAGCAGTTTTTCTGTATAATGTTGCAATAAATTACATCAACAGGCCTGCCCCCGCGAAGGTGCGTTACCTCCTCCTGCTAGTGCAACATCACAGTCTGGTCTCCTATCCCCAAAGATTCAATATCACTCTTTAGATGACTTCACACAAGAAAGAAATTGACTCTTGAACAATCTCGCTCTTCTTTCACGTCATCATTTCTGTGCGTGAGTGTGCGCTGAGGAGAGAGGTGTGTGTGTGTGCTTTTGTCCATCACAGTTGAGCACAATTTCAAATAAAAAAAAAAAACCCTGTACAGCATAAATGACTTTCAAATTAATACGAGGTATAATCGGAAATCGGTTTTAAATTAAATTGTAATATGATGAGCTTAGTGCAAATAGATCTGTCTGACTTTTCAGTCGCATGAAAGGATATAATAATGGCAAGTACTGAAGTAGCCACAGGACGACCATTCTTTTGCTATTTAATAGCTCCACATGTCACCTTGTCACCATGCCCTGACACACAGCATTGTTTTTGAAGTGAAAACCTCCGCAGCATTAAACACATTCCTGCTGATCCCATTCTATTCCTGCCTAGAGACTGAGCGGTTGTGCTTTCAAAGATACGCCGTTAGCTGTGATCTCCAGGCTGCTTTCAATTGAGGACAGATCCTGCAGAAACAGGAAACGCAAAAAAAGGCTTCACATTAAATCTGATTGTTCCTTGCCAAATCGAGGCATGGCTACCACTGACTGAGCTCAGTGTGGAAAATGAGGTCTGATTGCACAGCGTGAACACTGTGCCTAAATGTCACCGTTTTCTTGTCTGTACGTATGCCCTAATTTTTCTGTCTAGACATGAGTCAGAGCTTCAGTGTGTGTACACCGGACATGAGGAACATGTCGAGTATACCTGGCAACAAACAACCAGATGAAGAAAAAAGTAGAGAGAAAAGTGAATGAAATGGTGGATGAGGCGGCGGGTGGGGAGGGGATGAGCATTCACTGTGTTTGATGATGACACTCGCTGGATAAAACCTATAATCAAAGGAGAGAGATTCTTGGCCTGATTTTGGCCGCGCTCTCGTGGGGATTCAGAAGAGGCTAACCTGCCCTTATGGTGGAAAGAAACAGAGCCTGTTGAATACCGGTGACAAATCTAGCAGGGCTGCAGAAAGCCCTCTCTCCTTGACGCTTTAACGCCGTATGGGACGGTAAAACATTCATGTGAACACAGCCGCAGTCAGGAGACGTGCTTAGAGTGTACTCAAGAGTTTGTCTCGAGGCTTTTACTACACTTCCCTCCTGATTAATTGTTGCTTTCAACTAAGGCTCGAATGATTCAATCTATAAAAAGCTGAATGGGGAATACCGTGCAATTTTAAAAGTGGCTCCTCTGGCCTTGGACAGCTAAGTGGTAGTGAGCAACTTTTCTTTTTTTTGTCTTTGTCTTTTGGGGAAAGCAATTCTTTGCTTGTACAGTTCAAACAAATCCACCCACGCTGCCACTTTCCATCTGAAGAGGTGCTGAGAGGAGTTGTGTACTTCAACACAATAACTGATTTTTTTTTCTTCCAAAAGAAAAACACGGACATTAATTCCTTCTCTATTATTTCCCACAGAACTGAATCAAGGCTGTTATTTTTTTTCCAAATTCACAGACAATATTGAATTCACTCACTGCTGAATGTGACTCATGAGTGCCTTTTTATGTGTCTTTGCATTTGTGACTGTATATACGAGTCAGACAACGGCTGATTGTGTATTCAAGTCATCCATGATGTCAACAACATGTTTCCTGAACGGCAGTTTTGCAGGTCGGGGTGGTGGCTCTGATCTTTGCCATCTTGCCATCGTCTGACTCTGCCTTACTCCCAGCTAATCCAAAAATTGGGCCATGGACAGTCATATGAAGGCAACCACCTGTAACATTACACATTCTTGCCCTTATATGCATACTTAAAGACTGTTTGTAATGTGTTCATTTGTGCTGTAAAATGATGTGAGTATATCCTGGGAATTGGCTGGCTTTTGGAGCCCACCTCAGTTGGTCATTCAAGGCTCTTTTAGAGGTTGTCCCACGAAGAAAACACATAGGTGACTGCTGCTGTAAGCATGGGTAATACAATACTATCAATCTTTAATTTGTTTTCTCAACACTTATAAAATGTCAGATATTAGTGAAAAAGAGATGTCACGGTTTCCTAGACCTCAAGCTGACATGTTAATTTTTGTTGATTTTGTCCAGCACACAGCAAGAAACATCAAGAAAACACATGAATAATCAGAGAAGCAATCAGAGAAGCGGGGACTAGTAGCATTGTCTTATCAAGCTTGTAAAAACAACAACTGTTAATCAGTTTTCAAGGAATATTTTGACATTTTAGCAACTCCAGATATACTGATGAGCCAAAACATTGAAACAGGTGAGACACTGATCATCTTGTTACAATGCATTGCTCTGCTGGGAAATCTTGACTCCTTGCATTCATGTGGATGTTACTTTGACATGTACCACCCATCTAAACATTGTTCCCAACCAATCATACCCCCTTCAAAGCCATGACACTCCCTAATACCAGCAGCTTCGCAACATCACAAAAACTGCCCAGGGATGACTAAAGGTACACTAATCCAAAGAGCAGCTCCCCAGATCCCAATTTGATTGAGCATCCATAGGACGTGCCAGAACAAACCTCCATGGAAGCCCGACCCCACAAACCACAGGATTTATTGCCAATGTTCCGGTGTCACGCACCTCAGAGGTCCCACATCCATGGCTCCATGGCTCAGAGCTGATTTGGCAGCATGATGGGGACCTTTATAACACTAGGCATGTGGTGTAAATGTTCTGCTTCTTTTCTACAGAGAGTTAAAGAAGAAGACATTATTTCCATTTCTGACTGTTATAAATATGCACCGATAGAGCAAAGAGCAGTTAGCTTAGCATTAAGACTGGAAGGAGGGGTTCTGACCAACAAAATCCAGATCCACAATGGTT